CCTTCTAAATTCGTTTTTTATGTCAAAAGGAACATCTGTGCCTAATTTGGTGCTTTTACGCGATTTGTCATGATTTTTGACCTAACAGACCGGACTAGAAGGCGTTTCGCCTCTTTCACAGCTGCTTCTGCCTAGCCGTTTGTCTGTTGGTGCCTCGGACAAGAACAAGAACAAGCCAAATGAACCCGTAGCAACAGTCCCCCAAAAAGATGTTATTATTTTATTACCTTATATAGGTCTCCATAGCAATCATATTACTAAGCGTGTAAAATCTTGTGTTAATTGTTTCTACTCTTTTGTTAATTTCAAAGTTATTTTTCAAAATCACCCAGCGCATCAAATCCTTCTTCCCATACAAGGACCGTCTCAACCGATCACAATTATCCAAAGTCATTTATAAAGCTAGTTGCTGGGACTGCAATAGTTTTTACGTTGGGAAAACGAAGCGAAGACTTCACGACCGGAAAACGGAACATTTCAAGGCCCAGTGGGTCTTCGTTTTAGACCAGTGGGTCTTCGTTTTAGACCGGGGTTTTAAACCAGTGGGTCTTCGGTCTTCGTTTTTGGGTCTTCGTTTTCGACAAATCCTTGGAACGATCATCTTCTTTTCTTTTCAAAAATGATTGCGTTGAGATGGGTGTAGAAGCCGTTGAGATGGACTAATAAGACGGTAAGCTTTAAAATGTAGCCTGCGAGGAGGCTCACGTTGGAGCACAAGCGCGTGCGGCGTAGCCGCGAGCGCGAAATCGAGCGGCGAAGCCGCGAGATGAGAAAGTGAGCCTGCTCTGATATCTGCAAATTTTTCATTTCCACCCCGGAAACCGCAGAAAAAATAAGCCAACTAATTTTCACCGGAAGTATGAACTTTGGCACCTCAAATTTCTCGGTAACAACATGCAAGCACGATATCCGTTGTTGATACAGTTTTGCCGAAGAAAAATCCTCAAAGTTTAATTGTCTAGCAAGGACGCACACTTGATTCCAAGTGATCTTGCTTTGGCAGGGTCTTTTTCGTGTTGTTTTGATGCCCGCTTGCAATTACATACGTTTGTAATATTTAACTCTTCCCATATGCAGTCGGCAACACGACAAGTACGTCTTGATTTATTAACATACATTCAACTGCTATTTCCTGCTCTCCCTTTAGTTTCAAATTTAACCAGAAATAGACTGGAACATTGTTAAAACATCAGTAATACGCGCACTCACCTCTTCCTCTGACTCCAAGTATGGACGGCGTATTTTTTTATTATGAGAACGGGCGGTAAATTACCGACTCCGTGGGGATCTAATCGCTCCTCATCAAAGGTAATAGATTGACAGTTTTCTCG